TGGCTGTTCCGGCTGTTCCCAAGCTGGCCTCCATCCTCCAAATGCCGCGTTGATCTCGTTTGCCGCAGCTATTAACAGTCGATCACATCCTGGGGCAGCTACAATCTGGAATAAGGCAATCTGAGATTATGAGCTATTAGCATATGTAGTAGCTAGCTTTGTGGGTAAATGTAAGGATATAAGGCTTTTCGTAGGTAGCGTAGAAATAGCTGTATCATACCTGTACTCCAAGAGGTATACCATTTTTGTCAAGACCCATGGGGCATTGAACGACGGGCAGTGCAAGAGCATTGAACAGGGCCGTATAGGCAGTGTTCAAGACGGCGAAAAGTGGCTCACGATGAAATGGGGCAGGTCTGGACCATCTGAAAGTACCTTTTTAAGTCGGAGTATGCAAAAAAGGGGGAAGCAGACATTTTCAGAATTAAATAATTGAATTACTCGCAATGGTAAAGATTTTTTCCGAAAAAAATGTGATGTTGCGGTCGTAAATATGTTTGCAAGAATTTTAGAAAAATATTCAAAAATTTTTTCCATTTTCGTTTCTTTTGCAAATTGTATTATTCCTTAATAACTTGTGGAACTCACGAGGGAAAGAAGAGTATTCCGTTGTTTCCCAGCGTTTCGACAATTTGTCGCTTCAATCGATCGCGTATTCGAATATACTTGAATGGAATTGCATTTAGGTGATTCAGAAGACGGCAAAATGCAAATCAGTAACATCCATTGCGAGAACCTTTTCATTGGACTCCTCGTTACCATGTTTATGCAGTGATTCCATGAATGTGATAAGAAGAACGGCCGCCGTGTGATGGGACTGCCCGGTAAGCACTTTTGGTAGTTCTTTCCAAACGTTTAACTGGCCGGCATCGCCCTAGTAGAGGAGAATCATTTGCAGCTGAATTTCCTGGCACAATTTCCAACAGAAAAAACTTACCTCGAAACTCAATGCTTTCCTGGAGAGCTCTAAGTTTCCCTCTGAACTTGCTGAATAGAATTCAGGCTCATATAATGTCAGCGGCAAGTCGAGACCTATTCCTTCTAGACCAAATGTGCTCTCAAAATGGGATACAGCCTGGGATGATGAAATATGGATAAGATATGTTTGCATGAATCTGAAAATTGATTTTCTTCGTTTGAATGCTCACTTTCAAGAGTGTTTCCTTCATAACATCTCCCAGGGGCTCAACAAGTGGATGTCGAATTCCAAGCATGTAGAAAACTCGGCACTTTTTGAAGTCAACGTGCTCGTCCATATGCATTTCTTTGAACCTTTCACCGGCCATAATCTGAACAAATTTATTTTTAATACAAATTCACAGGGATCACCCACTTGATTCATCGGGGAGGGGAAATTGTAGGAACTGCGTCGAGGTACATCCGATCTCACCCAGGCTATTTCGGCCTTTTACTTTTCTGATCGCAACTCTGACTTTTTGGGAACGGTTTACTTGTGATCCGGACTGGGAATGAAAATCACGAGAAGCGATATTCTCTTTTGCCACCAGCTGACGTAAGGGGGTCACTGCAATGCCTAACCCTCTTTTGTGCGCCTCTACCGTTCTAGGCGGAAGTTCTCAGCAACTTAAGAAAGAAGTGATGAGTGCTATGTACCTTTGTGAAGTGAAATTGAGCTAGCTTACCTCGTACAACAGGGGAATATCCTCAACGTACCGACACATCGGTCCTTCTCGAAGCATCTGCCTTTTGTAACCCGAAGGTTCGGGGGCATGACCATCAATTGGAATAATCCCTATAATGATCAACCGACAACTTCGGAATGCTCATAATTGAGAGAGCTAAGCTGCTTTCGCTGAAGGATGTCGAGGATCCTTCGTATAGGGATTTCCTGCATGTTCAGAAGCTAGCTGAAGAGGGATTCCAGATTCACTTGTAGTCAAATATAGAGACAGAATGTTACGAGGCGATGGTCTCGGTCAGAGAGGCGGATTTGCGCTATTTATCTTCATGGTTCAAACTCTTTACCGCATCTTTTTCTGCTTTTTCGTGATGTTGCCACATGAAAGTGCTCTAGCATGGATAGTTTACTTTGTTAGAACATAATGTGAGCCGAGATTGAAGTGTAAATTTGGGAAATATCCAGCTTCCTATGATTCTTGACTAGGTTGTGGGAGAATCTTGCTCGAAGGTGTTGGACATCACATCCACTACGGTGCTAATTGTGATGGGAATTATTTTCATGCGATCGAACTTCTTGAAGAGGGGACTTGCCTGGGGTTGGAATCATTCCAAAAATCCCATTGACAAAACTTGGAATTCGGATACTGCCACCGACGTCGCTACCAACGCCCACCTGAACACTAATAAATGTAAGAGAGAACCTGTTTTCAACATAGGCGATTCTCGTTCGAACGGATTCCTCCTCTACTTATTCTTACCGGAGTGCCAGCTGCACTGAGCAGTGCTCCTTCACCACCACTACTTCCACCAACTATACGCCGAAGATCATATGGATTTCTCGTTCTACCGTAAACTGTGTTCGTAGTTTCGATCCAGGCACAAAGTTCAGGCACATTGGTGATCGCTATCAGGATGCCACCCGCATCTTGCATCCTCAAATTGAAGCGAAATAAAGATATCGAAATGTTCAACAAGTGCAGTGTTCTGACCTTCAGCGTGGACTAACAGAACCTACGGGTTCTTGGTTTATCGGTCTTTCTTTTCGAATATGATCATTCATGAGAATAGGGATTTGGACTGAGTGACGAGGCCGTAAGGCCGTGAGATGCTTCCGAATCATCGCCGTTTTGGATAGAGAGCAGAGAATTTCCGATCTCCATACCTTTGGACAGCAAGACCAGTTTTCGTACAACGATGATTTCGTCGGTAGTACGACCCAGTAGTAACGATTTGACCGTTGATCTCAATCGAATCTTTACAACTGAATGGGACACCGTAGAGCGGTCGTCGTCGAAGAAGCTGAAATAGGCTAACAGGTGGCAGAAGTTTTGGCTCAGTTCAATAGATAATTTATGTCGCCCAGTTCTTACATCAGAAACGGTCGTCCAGCTGTGAGCATTAAAGGCACCGTTCACGACAATTTTGGGTAATCCAGATATGATGAAAAATGGAGGACAAGATCGAAACTAGTGCGACTGAGGTGAAGAAACT